AGGATGCTTACTCCTCCTTGGCACCTGATCCCATCTCTGGAATTTCTGGGGGTCCATGTTTTATGCCCTGTTAACAGATTTTATTCTTTGTAGATTTTTTTAAAGATCGATCTCACCTTTTTCTCTTTTTTGTTCTGTTCACATAATTCGGTCATATTTTAACAAGAGTTATTAACGATTAACTCTTATTTACATCCGACTCAAAAATAATGCAACTTTGAACCTTGGTGAAATATACGTTCAATGCATTGCTTCTTTCAATTTACTCAAAAGTTAAAAATGAACTTCGAAGGCAAATTATAAGTACATGTAATAAAATTTATTGAATATCATATCAATATTTTTGTAACAAGAGAAGAGGAAATCTAATTAGAATTGTGTATACTGGGAGAGAGAGAGAGAGAGAGAGAGAGAGAGAGAGAGAGAGAGAGAGAGAGAGAGAGAGAGATAATTACCGGTACATGTATTGTAATTTAAATGAGGTTTATATTTTTCAAGGATTTCGAGGGTACTACTTTCTTGCAAATTTGTAGCCTCAACGAATATATTGATTTGCTGGCTTCTTTCATAATAATACATTAGCCCACAAAATTGCTCTCCCACGAACCTGTAAATTTTGAGCAATCCATGAAAATTGACCCATCAAATTAAAATGATTCTACAGTTTTTCTGAAGAATTCAATGCCCTGATTGATTTGATATTGCAGCGTAATAAAAAACAGAAAGATGTTCACCCCTAGGGTAATTTCGATGCATATTATCTTTACTTTTATATGAATCATACCTATGAAGCTAAGAAATTGGAGAACGGTAGCCAATACAGACCCGATCTTTATATATAAATCTCACCTGAGATCAAACATTACTAAATACATGTAAATATCTCTTGGCGAATTTCAATGTCGTTTCAATAATTGAAGCTTTGATTAAGAATTTAGATGTATGAATTTGCATGACTTCACTTCTACTACAAGGAGATGGAGAAAAACAGAGGTTATTCTTATTCAAAGATATAAAGATATAAAAAATTATTTTCGCAAAAATCATTCTATGATTTAAAAAAGTGGATATTCTTGAGGTTTGACCTCAAACAATAAAAATCCTGATTTCAATTATTTCTTCAAGACTAACACGCTAACCACTATGCTATACAGATCATGACAAATATCGGCATTTAAATCATGATCGTGATATGACCCTCGACTAAATGGACTTCAAATATTTCTCGAAAGATATCAATGTTTCAAATATCAAAGTGTATTTTTAAGGTATAGCAAGTCTTTCCTCAATATTTTTGAGAACCGAAAAATGTAAATTTTGACGCATACTTTGAGTATAATCTTTCAAATAAATTGATCAAGACACACTCGTGTGGAAAAAGATGTATTTTAAAGCATGAAAAAAAAAAAGAAAGATTATTTTTGCCCTTTTTGGTGTGTGTATGCTATTTTATAGACAACTAATTTCAATATTTGTTAGCTTATTTCAAATTGCGGCGATTTTACATAAAGTATACGTTAATGTTAAAAGAAATATCAAAGAAAATTTTGACATAATTGAGATTTAATTTTTCAGTGTCTTATTTGGCGCACAATAGGCATTTTGCTTGCCTTGATCGGCTATCTTCTTTTGTATCTTTCGATACATCAAATTCACATTGAATTGAATGCAGGACGTTTAACACAGAGAAATGTATAATCAGAATGTACCAAATGATTTCTAATTAATAAAATAAAGAGTGCAATTTTATTTTGAAAAGCAATTCCCCCTACCCCAAGAAAAAATGTCAAGAGTGTGTATTCTTACATTTGTTTGCAAGATTTATTCCTGTCAAAAGTTCTAGCTCATGTATTCATTTGAAAAAAAAAACCCATTTTATCCTCATCATCTTGTGAAATTTATATTTTTATTCATAAACATGACATTTTAAAATTACTTGATAATCAAAGAAATGTACTTGCTTCTAATATGAGACAAGATTTCAAAGACAGTTTTTGTGCAATACTTAAGGGTACCTCATAAAGGAAGAGACACTTTGATGCAAACCACAGCTCATCAGATTAATGCTTCCAGACAGAGTAAATCGCTCTCTACAATATTCCTTCTAATTTTCATTAGAGACCGTCCTTTTCCTTTTGTTCTTTCAATTTTAACCCAAGGGGATAATATAACCACAGTTTTTATATTTAACGTAAAACATTTTTTTTACTTCAAAATGAGTCTAGTTTTAAAAATATAGCATTACTCAAGAAATTATCAGAATAACACCGAAGATTACCAGTGAGTACCGAAAATTTAATCAAGGGTGAAGGATATAAAAAGTACATTAGTGTGAAAATAGAAACTGTACGATTGAATAGAAAGAACAAAAATAAGCTTACTATTATAATTAAACTGGTTGATAAATTCATAAAACAACGTTAAATTTGATTGATAATATTCTTGTTTTTTTATATTTCAAAAAGGTCACAGATAGAAAACCCGAACGTTTAGAATTGCCTTGAAACTGATGCCTTTGCTGAATTTTCGCTTTTTTGCTACTGATTATATGAGACAAATTATTGATGGTATTGTTTTCACTGAATTCTTGAGGTATATTTTCTTTTTTATTAAAAGTATGACCATCACATCCTCATCATATTAAGCGTGAATATATTAGATTTGTGCCAGTCACTAGTAAGTAATACAGAAATGATATTTCCGACGTTTTGACTTTCGGCCACATGACCTTTGGAATATAGTGTATACTTTAGTTTTATGGTTGATGAGAATATGAATATCCTTCTTGAACTTTTTAGTGCTGTCAGAATATTATTGAATTCAAGCTATTTCTTTCATACGGTCATGAATTCTATTTAGTAAAAGTCGTATTACAGCATTTTGTGTCATTTTTGCCTTGGTCGAATTTATCCACTTATTCATGTAGGGGTAACTTCGGCCGATTTCTATGCAGCTGATTTGCATTCTAATTTGTAAAGACTAAATATTTTAAATTAAAATAAATATGTATGAATTTCAGCTGAAAAAAAGATAAATGTCACGTTAGAAATCTATTGACTAACTTTCTATACAGATATTGTCAGAGATGATAATTTCTAGTAATGGCTAATAAATACTCGTCCGTAGTTTTTCGGGTGATAACGCTTCTTCTTGGGCATCGTCATATTTCAGTAAACAGCTTGCGCGTGGAAATAAAATTATTATCAACAAAATACATTAAAATATTTCTGCATGCATCGAATGGATGTATATGTACGTACGCTTGTATAGATTATAAATAAAACATCGTGAGGAATTCATGATCTTTCATATTTACATAGGTGGACGAAGTTACACCACCATACCTTAGCTCTAAAACAAAACAAATGTACGAAATAATATTGCAGAATTTAACTATAAATTACTATACTGTTATTTTAAACAACAATTTGGCAGTGAGCAAATGGAATACGAATGTCTCTCCACTTTGTGATGCGTGAAAGTTTATTGAAAACACACAGCATTTGTTATTTGAGTGTAGGATTGTTAAAAATATGGCAAAAAGTCGGAATTTTTTTGTGTATCACAAACCGTCACCGTAGTCATTTCGGTAGAGCGCTCGCTCCGTGATCGAAGGTCGTGAGTTCAAGCCCCGACCGCGACTGACCTAAGTCGATAAAAAAAAAAAAAAATAGGTAGCAACTGTTCCTTCGCCAAGCGCTTGGCACTTTGAAGTGAAAGTTACGCGTCCTTCGGATAAGACCTTAAAAACCGAAGCCCCGTGTCACGACACGATAAAGATCCCTCACAGATCAAAGGCCCTGAGTGCCGAGTACAGGGTCTAAATTTGAAGCTCTTCACCGGTATATGGTGACGTCTCTACATGAGTGAAAAATTCTGGAATGGGACATAAAAAACATACAATCAATCAATCTGATTATAACAATAACATGGAAAAATATACTTCTGGGTCTAAATAAATGAAATTAATACTCAATTATATTGAATAATTTGATATCTTTTTATGTTTTACAATTAACAAATATAAAATGAAATGTAGATTTGATGAGGAGTTTACATGTATATCGGAAGATGTAATACAGAATGTTCTTAAATTTGCAAAGAAATGTAGATGCAATGACAATTTGTACACTGAACTAGGAATTTTTTGTGACTTGGATTATCAATTTATGTTTAAAATCTACCACATGCGTTTTGTAATATGTCATTTGTTTTAATAAAATAAAGAAAAAAAACTTTAGAAATTCTATACATGAAACAGTAAGACACTTTCTATAACATTAAAATCATATACGGTATATCACATACATAACGTAAATGTAAGTTAAACTCATTAAGTTCATTCATGTGAACACATATACATGGTATATGATAAGAGTGTATATATATATATATATATATATATATATATATATATATATATATATATATATATATATATATATATATATATATATATATATATCCTCATTTCTTACATCAACAATAACATGAAGTCAACCGGAGCATGTGCTTTTAGAAATAAACATATATGAAACAGACACAAGAAACAGTTCCTGCACGATGTATCCTCACACGTTTCAAATTTTTGTCTCAAACTAGAAGCAAATACAATTCTTTGATAAGAATAAATGAAAAATTGTAGAAATTTCATAATTATAAAAAAGATATTAAATTGCAAAGGAAAATTAAAAGACAATGTAAATGGTCTATTTTAAATCCATAAACGTCTACAAATTAATAAATGAATAAGAACTGATAGTATTATTGTAATTTTCCTTTTGATAGACCTTACATTTATATATAACATATGTATCGCCAAAAACCGTGACGTTTAAAAGAAGACATACATTTACAAAAACACAATGATCTCAAAAACGGATCGCAATATATACCCTAAGATTTTAAAGGTACTTCTTAAGATACATCTATGTAAGATATATTTTTAAATGATTGACACATATTTAAATACAACCTGGTATTTCCAGTATTATTTACTTGGGAAGCCATCATTTAATCATGGAATGCTTCAAAAATCGCTTATGTCAGTGGATAAGTATTGAATTAGCGGCATTGATAATGTTCATAATTTGTATTATACTCCAAATGTAAGTATATATCTGTATCTTTTTCGAAAAAATCATCGCACAATTTATTTCTATTTTCTCTTTGCATTTGTTTATATAAATAAGAACTTCTATGTCTTTCATCCCTATCTTGTATATTATCTGTCCTCTGTGATTGTAGAGAAGAATGTCAAAATTTGTCAGTGGATTAAGAGGGAAATCCTGATTTTTCTCGTTTCAGAATCAATGGTTCCAAGTTTAGTATTAATGATATAGTGTTTGTGACTGTTGTGTTGGTCGTCTGTCTAACAATACTTATTCTGACTGTGTACTTTTTTGCTAATTCTGGAAGTAGTGAAGACGTAAGGACCACATTTATACACCGAGTTAATACTTTGAATTATTTGGCATAAAGTAATTACCCTTTATTAGAATCAATTTATGAGTGTTTTAATTTAATCTGCAGAAACGAAAATTGGTCGACGTCGTTACAGAGGAAAAAGAAATCTGTAGGAAACTCAGACCCCTACATAAAATGATTGGTATAACTTTTGAGAAAGTGTAATATTTTATTACAACGCTGTCCTAACTATCATATTTTGTTAAAACAAATTACAATACAGTAAACAAAAGGAAATGGAGATATTTACTTTTCAAATAATATTTTTATATTATATATATCCTCTTAGAATCTGATTGCCCGATTTGTCTCGCAACGATGCAGTGTTCTTCTCTAGTGCAGCTCAGCTGTGCACACGGTAAGATTATGTTAAGCAACCTTAATATGAAGGCTACAAAATAATTTTGTTATCAAACTGAGCAGTGCTTTAAACTTAGAACATAAAGTTCAACTTAAACAATTTACAAATAAGGAATGAAATTAATGAAATACATTGATCTATTAAATTGTCAAACTTACCATCGTCTTTAAGAAACCATTGATTAATAGATTACCATGAAAAGTGTGTCAAAGAATGGTTCGTCATTTCCCGTGATTTTCGATGTCCCCAGTGTCGTGAAGAATGCCAAGACTTTTCTTCTTGCAGCAAAGGAACTGAAACTGCTTTAAACGTTGTTTAATGATACTGATCTTTTCTTTCTTACGGAAGCGTAAAGGTCTCTACACTTCTTGTGTAATAACGTTATAACTTGTACATTGTCTTATTTGTTATTGTTTTATCAACATATTAAGTATTATAACTCCTTATTTATACACATATTTTGAATTGTATCTATGTGTTTAAACATAATTTAATGCACCTTCTTTTATTTGATTAATTTTATTGCTATTAAGTTATATATCGACTTAAATGTATTGATTTGAAAATATCAATATCCCTCCCTTGGTACACCCACATCCACACATCCTCACACACAAATATATATATATATATATAGAGAGAGAGAGAGAGAGAGAGAGAGAAGATCCATTCATTACCTATCTGTACTGACTGTAAACAGATAAGTGATTGTTTTTTGTTTGAATTATTCTCATACCGTTACCCTCAACATATCTATGTTTTGTTGTATTTTTTTTTTTTTTTTGTTATTCATTATTTTTCTAATACTCAGGAATCGGAGTTTTCATGCTTATGAAAACGTTATCAAGTAGGAAAAAACATGGTTTGTTGTTCGAACTATTAAAACAAAATTTATATATTAATATACATCGATAAAAGGTGACTTGTTTTTATAATATATACATATATATTAGGCAGACAAAAGTAGTTGATCTTGATATTAATGATATTATGTGCAAGTCTGATGGAAACCCCATGAAAAATAAAAATGACAATTAACAAAAAAAGTATCTTGTTATCAGAATAGAAAACTATAAGGGGGTTAACTGAAAAATACACTTTATCTTTGAAATTTTATTTTTCTGCACATATTTTTTTCCGGAATAACAGTAACCTATCTGTGAGAAACTCAATAAGAGTAACTACCACTCCTAATAAATCAAATAATGTGCTAAAACTAGGCAATGACAATGGAAAGTGCGATTTAAAAAAAATGAACATACATGTATTTGCAAGAATGCATATAGTAGATTCTTTCTGGGGGGAAAAGGGTAAAAGCAAGCTATCTGAAAGAATTAAAGAATATTTAAAAAAAAAAAAAGAAAAAAGACATTCTATATTCAACAGCAACAACATACGAAATTTCTGGAGTGAATTCCTTAAAAATGAAAGAAAACGAAATTGGTTGATATGGAGAATTTGAATATTTTACAACTTGAATATTTGACACATTTGCTTGTTCAATCAAATTCATAATGAATTAAATAAATACAAGATTCGGTAAAACTCGGTTATAAAGTATTCCCTGATTACGAAATATCGGTTATGAATCCCACAGAAGACTTTGCATTATGTTTCTTATACGGTTATAAAGAATCAAAATTCGAAGTCTCTGTGTCTTCCTCATAACAGATTTTTACTGCATGTGTATTTTTTATTGTTCTTTGAAAAATAATTCTAAAAATTAAAAAATCCACTTATGACGTCATTCTTTTGTTTGAGCGCTCCATTATTTTTCGGAAATGGAGAGTTACAAATCACACAACAACGGAGAATAAAGTTTTTATATTATGTTCAAGTTCTCCCTCTAGTACCTCTTGGTGTTAAGATTGTTATAACTAAGAAAATTTTATTAAAAAAAATCTAACAAGAAAAAGTGTGGCATTGCTGGGAATTGAATCCGATAACATCACCATTTGAGTCGAGTACTCTACCGAGACCGATCACGATTTTGGAATTTAGATAACTTCATAACATTCATTTTACCTTAGTATATAATACTACGAATTACTTAAATGTACATGTATATTTTATAGACAAACAATAATAATGACAAACAATGATTATGAGCATTTAATTGAAAAAGTTGAAGATAACAATTAGCGATCGATCTGGGAAAAAATACTAAAATACTACAATCAATACAAATGTATGAACAGGGCATTTAACACGGACCCCCCCCCCCCGGAAATTCCAGAGGTGGGATCAGGTGCCTAGGAGGAGTAAGCACCCGCGGTGAGTCCTAAGTATTGAACAAGTGGACGAAATATTCCGTACTTAAATTTAGTGTTAAAAAGGTCAGTCAAAATATATAGGTTTTATTTGCCAACAAGGTCATTATAGCGACAGAAGAATTTAAGAAATGTTGATTTTAAACGAGATATTCAGAATAATTCAGAAGTGAAAAACAAGAATTAGATAGATTTCACGATCAGTATGCTCTGACAAAGCAGGTAACAACATTGTCTTTGTTTGTACGGCTTATTATTTCATTTGTATTTTAGAGGAACTTGGATTCAATTCTGCAAGTGGTAATCCAACTTATACCCATAGCTTCCTTTTTATAGAGGAAATTCTTCAAAATCTTATGTCAGTTTTAAATATTTTTAATTTTCCCAACAATCAAAATGAATTTGAATTACTATTCACTGGATCCCTAAACTTCATAAAAAAGATACATAGCGGGCTCCAGTAAATATTCTACCAAGCCTCTTTCTTTAATCCTCACTAAAATATTAACAGCAGTAAAGGAGAAACTTCAGGAGTACTGTACAACTATATATTCGAGAAGTGGTGTAAATCAGATATGAATACTTAAAGCTCCAAGGAACATTTAGAAAAATTTGAATCACCAAATATTACCAAAATTAATAACATCAAAATGTACGACTTTTCAACACCTTATACAACTTCCTCCACGATAAATTAAAGTCCAAGTTTTTTACATCATAGACAACTGTTTTTTTTTTTCAATAAAAGTGGAACTCGTAAATTTACCTACCTTGTCACTGGTCATTTGCAGAATGATTTTGTTAAAGTGAATGTGATTGTACACACAGTACTCTGAAGTAGATACTAAAAAGATGCTTGGATTACTGATTGACAATATATGCATATGTGTATTTTTTGGAGATCAGATCTTCCAACAATCTGTTGGAATTCACATGGGTAGGTAACCAACTGCGCCCCGTTATTAGCAGACCTATTTTTGTATTCATATGAAGCAGAAGTTATTCAAGAAGAAGAAAACACTTGTTGTGACCTTCAATTCGACATTTAGATATATCGACGACGTATTATCAATTAACAATAATTACTACCATTCATATGTCGACTCGATATATCCCAGTGAGCTTGAAATAAAATATACCACAGAGTCTGACACATCTGTTTCATTTTCGGATATTTTACTTAAAAAAAAACGTTAATGGTAACCTGACAACAAAACTTTATGATAAACGTGTTGACTTCTGATCAGCGCCTCTATCGTCAACTTCCCTTACTTATGTAGCAATAAACCCTTATCACCTGCATATTGAGTTTATATCTCCCAAGTGATTCGATAAGCAAGAGCATGCTCCACGTACAAACAATTTCTTAAACGAGGCAAGCTATTGACAAACAAGTTGTTGAAACAAGGATATCAACAGTATCCTTTATAATCATCATTTCGTAAATTCTATGGTCGATATAATGACTTTGTCAGCAATTACAATCTATCAATAAGTCGAATGCTGATCGATATTTTTCATACTAATTGTTAGGCCATTATTTAAACACTGAACTGTCTACGGATTTTTCCGTTTGCCAGATCAGGTGGTGAGCACACGGCTAGTGTGACCGGTCGACAGAGAATGTTACTCCTCCATGGCACCTGACCCCAACTCTAATGTTTTCAGAGATCCGGTTTGCTCTGCTCCCGATTTGTATTGCTTCAATGGACTTTTGAGCTTGATTTCTGTTCGTTATCTCCATATTTCATTTAAAATCCCTTTTGTTATCTGTTAGTAGCCTACCTCGGTTTAAGAATTGATCGTACTCAGAGTATGCTCTTGAGTATCAAATAAATTGGTCACATAAACACCATATGCAGATGATAGTGGAATATTACTGCATAAATAAGTAAAGTGAACGATGGAAAACTGAAGTCATCTGTATTTCGAGTTATCTGGGATGTCTTGAATGGAAGTAATTATTAATAATTGATAGAACGTCATCGATATATCTGAATGTGGAGTTGAAGGTCACAGAGTTTTCTTCTTCTCATGTAAAAGTTAGTGAATAATTCTGCCTCATGGGAATATAAAACAGGTCGACTAATAAAGGAGCACAATTATTGCCCATCGTAATTTCAACAGTTTGTCGGAAGACCCGGTCTCCAGTACTACATAGATATTGTCAATGAGGAACTCTAGCAGATTCCTTTCAATATCAACTTCAGAGTACATGTATGTAGAAAAAAGTGATTTTTAACGAAGTAATTTTGTTGACCAGTCACAAGATATGAAAATTTCCGAGTTCCATTTTTTATTTAAGAAGCAGTTGTCTATGACATAAAAAATTTATCGTGAGGAATGGTTGTATAAAGTGAAGCATTTAATGAAGAGATACTCAGACATTAACCTATATACATAATTAGAAATGGATAAAAAGTTTTTACATACTACAATGGTTCTTGTGCAAGGGTTTCTCAAATGATATAAACAAATGCAACATTTCACCTAAAACTCTGAAGAATATCCTTATTTATTGATCTTTGTTGTCATTTACTGTTATATGTATCATAAGCTATTTCGCATGCGTTGATATCTAAACTGTATTGTACTACTGTAGGCCTATAAATAAATAAAAGTAAGAATAAATAGAAATTTGCCACCAAATAAGAATAAACTGAAGAAGTATCAGACGAGACTCATTCTAGTTTGATAGAATGGCTACATTTAGACGTCAATATGTATAACGAATCCTTGAAATATACCAAAATTTTGCCAAGAAAGTGAAATTTTTGAATGTTTCGTTACAAATTTTACAAATCTGATATCATAAGAGTTTGAATTCAAGAAAAAAGTATAATGAATAGATAAATTGTAAAATTGAAGCAAACAAATTACCCCCAAAGCTATATAGCCCATTACGTAAAAAGTGTAAATGGTAGAATTTTATAACACTGAACATGAACACAAACATGGTAGTGTTTTCCACAACGTTTGTTGAAACAATTTACCTCAAGAACTTTGAATGTGGAATTATTTCACAGAGAAATAGAATGTGCATTTCTTATCATAAATAACTTTGTGGTAAAATTCGATGTTTTTCGAAGGTGAAATATAAACGTTTGAATTCGATATGAAACTTATTTCTAAAGCTGGCAACTTTATGATTTATATCATATAAACATTCATAAGTTATTGTCGATTTTCTATTTCAAAATTTTTCTAATTCTGTAGCTTTTAT